AAGTGAACCACATCTTTCTACGGTGCATGGATGCTTCTTGAGCCGCAAACCCTGTTACCGACAGATCATACACAATCACAAAAGAATCACAATCAAAAAAACAAACCAAAAACACCAAAACCAAAAAAAAAACAAAAAAAACAAAAAAACCAAAAAAAAAAAACATAAAAACCAATCCCAAGCGACTCTTTATATATTAGCTGTTCCATTGCAGGAGTCTCTCAGAATTGGTTTTTTTGGTTGTTTTGTTTTTTTTGGTTTTGGTTTTTTTGGTTTTGTTTTTTTGTTTTCTGTGCTTTCCTGCTCGTCTACTGCTGCTGTCTTTTATAAGGGTGTGTGGGGTTGTGCGGGGTTTAAGGTTTAGGGATTCCCCCCTGGAAGAGCAGAGCAAGCATGACATCGTCGAGGAGGCGCACCTGGCGAAGCACAAAAACGCAGCGGTAGAGTTCCGGCCTGTAACCATATACCATATATATACATATATGTGCAGACATCCATGTACGGATCTGCAAACATTGTCTTTGTACAGCCATGATGAGCGCAATATGCATGTACAGTCGAGTGTGAGTCACTCCCTAAACCCTAAACCGCAGTGAGGCTTGATCCAGCTCTTGCAGTGGTGGCCTCGCTACACTCAGCTGGTGACTTGGTGGCCGACAGTTTGGTGTGCGAGGAACGAACGAGGGCTACCGGGTTTTTTTTTGTTTATGGGGTTCGGGCCCAATAGTCTAGGACAGTCAGGTGAGGCGCATTGTTCTTCAACCATGAGATGTTTTTGGTGTTTCGTTGCGCTGTGCCTGAGATCTCCCTGGACTTCAAAAGCGAGTGGCTGTCGGAGCTGCTCCAGGAGAACAGCGAGGACCGGCAAAAGCTGGAATCCTGTTAGATGAATAGGCCTTAATTATGAGACGTGGTTCTCATGGCCGACAACACCCCAACCCTGAATTGGACGAGTAGCTAGCTCAACCCGATGACTGACAGGCTCCCCATGGCTTCCCAGCACTTGCTGTGACTGTTGTCGCTTCCCCGAAAAATTGAAATTCACATGGCGATATCGGGTAATTAGCCTTACAAGAACGCAGGTTTTTTTAATAGGTAATGTGTGATGTACTGTATGTGTTTTTGTCAACCACAGAGTCCTCACTGCTCTTTGAGGCACTAGCTCGTTACGGGCCCAATCCAAGATATGTTTGCAGTGTGGCATGCCGAAAAGCTCGTCCGTACAGTAGTACCGACAAGCCGGAGTGTTGCTTACGCACAGATATGTGGCCTGGCAGTGAGGACGCCCCAGCTCCTGTGCGGTTGGAGGTACAGCGTGAGCAGCTGCTTGTGCCCTGCCTGGCTGTAGACTGTAGATCATCCCAGGCTGACTGCTTCCATCTGGAATGAAACTCAATGTCGAATTTGAAAGCGTTCATGTGCCTGCGTTGGAACATGTTGGAACCACTCGCACACGGGATGTTTACGAGAAGGAGCTGCTGACTGCAGCATTGGGTTCTCCCCCGCCAAGGCGAGCCTTTGCGCAGGATTGGCCCAGTGCTCCAATTCTCTGTCTTGGGGTATCGATGTGCATCTTGGCTGCAACGGAACAGTGAACTTTGGGGGGGGACAAATGTGGAGCTGTACAGCACAATATAGGAGCCGCTGCATCTGCTAATCGACTGTAGAATATTATCATGTCCCAATGAAGCTTCACACAGACCTGCATCCCTATCACGTGTTTTGTTTGACTTTGAACTGATTCAAGAGTCGAACAGCGAAGTTGTTTTCAGCTTGGAGCTTGGTAGCATGCTCCAGATCAGGAGTTTTACCGATGAGTCTGACGACGAGGGGGAAGAGGACAGCAACCATCGGCAAGAGTTTTTCCGTCGCCAGCTCAGTTTGTGTTGGAGTCACTTCAATACGCCCGACTCCCAGCCCAAAAATAGAACGAGGGTTCTCGGGTTGGAAAACCTGAGGTCTGGCTGCTGATGAGTTCATGAAGCTTGGGCTGTTTGTCAGCAAGGACGGACTCTTGGCTAAGGCGGCGCAGCCTGGGTGACCTAACGACTTGGGATGTGATGGCGAAGGACTTACTTTACTCACTTTAGTCCTACTTGTAGTTACCCATAGGCCCCATAGTGGTTCATTTTTGTGGCTTATATTTAGGATCCTGTTAGGGAATCCCAAAAAAGAACTACTATCGGGCCTATGGGTAGTCACGTCCTCAGCGCCGGCTTGGTGTGAGTCGCAAGCAGCTTTGGCTCTCCGCCCCACAGCTCAGCCAACCCATCCCAAACCGAGTGGGTGGTCAGAGAAGCAATTCAAGTTAGTGCTAGTGCCCGAACTTCGCTCTGTATGTAGGCTTACATATATGTATGTACATATATATATATATACAAGTTGGTTTGCTTATTTAGTTATCTATGCATATGTATATATATACAACACCTACACATGTACATAGCATACCATGTGGACATGCATGTAGACAATGCATCTATGTGCATGCGCGTGCATGTATACATATACATGTTCATGTGTAAATGTGTATTTATGTATATCTGTATGTATGCATGGATGTATATTTTTATGTTTGTATGTGTGTGTGCGTGTATGTACTGACATTTATACCTGTACATGCCTATCACCATCATCATGTAAGGTGAGCAACGGTACTGCGACAGCCATTCATTGGTTCACGCATGTTTGTGTTCTCTATTGCCCGCTTGCGAATGCATGTACGGTACACGCATGCCCACTGACATGACATGGGCCAGGGTCTTGCTCGAGGTTGTCAAGACCTTGCTGTTCGGATATCAGCTGCTCAGGACGGAATTCGTCCTTCCACATCAACCCGGAAGCCAACAGTGAGGAGCAACTCCGACAGTTCGAGCTCTGCGCCTTGCCGAAAGACTGACCTAAGGCTTAAGTCTAGCCCCCTCATGCCTCCTCGACTATCATGCACATGGTGAACCTTCGGAGGATACTTGGACATGCAAGCCCGAATGGCTACGGCTCCCATCGCAAGCGGCGGAAGCAGGAACTCACAGACATAGTCTTCGAAGCATGATTTGAGTGGTGCTTGATAAAACCGGCAGGTAGTCGCAGACGTTTTCCACTGTGAAGCACACCTGGCAACTTCAACAAAAATGCCATGGGCAGCCTTGACACCAATCACGTCCACCTGGGTTGATATGCAAACGGTCTGCTGCCCGGAAGCCAGTGCAACTTAACTTCACGCTGCATTTCGGCGAAGGAGTGACGTGTACCAACGGTGGCTTGGGGAAGTTCTCGAGTGAAACCCAAGTGGTAAGGCCCAGCAGACTCGCTGCACAGCAAACGAATGTTTGCAACGCAACTTTTGTTGTCCCTTACATCGAAAGTTCCTCGATCTTGGCCTGCCGATCCGCATAGCTCTGCAAAGCACAGTTAGGCTAGCATAGTGCTCACCTTCGTGCTGGCTAATACCCTGAAGAATATGAGGCCCAAGCCAAACCCAAACCCCGAATTTGTTCCATAAATCCTAAACCACCCGAACATGATAAACCCCGCAAAAAAACTTGGTACATGGATTTAGGATGATTGGTGCTAGGATTCTCTATTCTATACTTCAGCTTAAGGGCATGAGGATAACGATGTTCCAACTTTCTGGCTTCTGCTTTAAGCTTTTGGCATTCGTGACTTCTTTCTCTCAGCCAATCCGGAGATTTCATTGAGTTTTTTTTGCAGCCCCAATTGAGCTAAACTTGGCAAGTCTGCTACAGGTGGCAAAGTGATCGGCCTGGCGCTGCTCCACCAAGAAACACTCCCGTCGATGCGCCTCAGCCCGGCGCTGCGCAAGCTTTTGCTAAGCAACGCCCCTTGGGCTCATGAAGCGATGTGGGGGTTCCCGAAAATAGGGGACCCTAATATAGTATCCTACATACTAGGATCCGTACTATAAGGACCCCCAAAATAAGGTACCCCTTGTTTTCAGACACCCCCATGTTAAGTCCCGAAGACGCGCGTTGACCAGATGTCCTACCACGAGTTCAGAATCGTCCTGCTGAGAGCTAATTACTTGAGAAGGTCCCTTGAAGGGTTCACGGTGCACTGCATGGTGACACACTTGCTCGTCATGCTCAGTGCTGTAACGCATGGACTGTCGTCAACCAGTTTTCTGGGACTCAGCAAACTGAGGCGAAGCTGGGCATGGAGGCGGGTCGCTTTCTCTGTGGAGCCCCTTCTTGCGATGCATGATTCCAGTGTCGAGACTCAAGTCGCGCTCAGAACCCTTTATCCTGGAGGACTTGGCAGCCGTAGATCCCAATTTCTACCAGAGCCACGTTCGGTCCCCAGGATTTGGTGCATCCTAAACGGTGCCAGCTGCAGTAGTCGAAACAGGGATCATATCTCCCAGGTCCTGCGCATCCTGGAGGGTCATTACACTCAGGACGCACGTTCGTTGGGTGCGCTGGCTTAAAGAAGCTGGGAGAGCAACACTTGATCTCATGAACGATGTGCCGTCATCCCATTGTCAGTTTTGACCCCTTAGTTTGAGAGAATGGATAGAAGCAATGCGCTAATCTGTGTTGCGCTGTGTGCAAGGATGCGCCATAGAATGACAATGAACAGCATGAATCAGAATCCCGGCCTGGAGGCTGACAGGCATAGACTCGGCTAGACCAGGTAGATGGATAAATACAGATACACCCCATCTTGTTGCGTAATGGCGCCATTCGATATGCACTTACTGCTTATTATCACGAGCGAACCGTAGAAGCCACTCGGATACTGCCTTTGGAGAGGAGGAGCCGCCAAAGCAGCTTTCTGACTTGGGCCTGACCTTCGAAGACGCTGCTCACTTGATCCAAATCGCAGGCTCTTCAAGGTAGGTGTTCTCTACAGTACCCCGAGTGGTTTGGCACCCGACAAAAGAAGAACTTCTACAAGTTGCTCGGGAAGCTTTTGCAAAGCTCCTCACAAGGTCCTTAAGGAGTGAGCTTTGTGCCTTCTGAATTCGAAGAGTTTCTGTTAACATAGCACCTTCGAGCCTCATAGTGTTTGGAAAGGGCTGCTCAAGGAGAGCTCGAGCGGCCACGCGCTTCATTTGAGTTTTGTTGGTGCCCCATGTGTGCAGCAGCATTCAGACATGTAGCGATGTCAAACTCAGGAGTGTAGGCAGCAGAACGCCTCCTGAGGAGATCGGTGGTGTGAAGACTGCGCTCTGCTGGGAGGGCGCCGAGAGGGTGGTGTCAGAGGAGAACAAGGGCCAGTACATAGCAGCTCGTACTGCGTAAGTTCACCCAGCAGAGGATGTCTGAGTTGAGAGGGTGTCGGGATGTGGGATGGTGTCAATGGTGTCTCAGTCTGACATTGGACTGGACATGCTCAAGGGCCTAGACGAGTCATGTTCGTTCCTTGGGTTTTTTTTCAGTGCATGTGCCATTCTGAAGGCTGAAGTCCGGCTGACCCGGGAGAAGCACACTGCATTATGTGCAAATCAACCAAGCTAAGGAGAAGCTGTGCCATCATCGGCTGTTGGGTTGCGTCCGGCCTCAGGCAGGCTTAAACCTGAAGTGATCCAGTCCGTCTGCCTGAGCCATCAACTTGCAAGGCATATTTGGTGCGCGCACCGTAGCAGACTTTGCAGTACGCACCAAGCATTTGGAAGCCGTGCCTGCCTTGAGCGAGTCTGCGAGTCGAAAAGCGGTAGTCTCCCTTCCCATTGCTGTCTTTGTGGGCAGCAGGTGGATGCTTTGCTCCGCGGCGTTCATCAACTGATCTCTCCAGAAGTGCAGAGTCAACTCCAGCGATGCTTGTCTCAAGCTGCAGCATTGCATGCATGCTCCTACTCTCTGTATCTCCAGAGTGCGATAGAGCCTGCCTGACAGCTTTGGGCCTTCTGCTATCGTATCTGCCACTCTCTGAGAAAGAGCCCGATGAGCCAGCAGGTACCGTCTCAGCTGCTGAGCTTGGTATGATCCTTTGTGGAGCGGCCAAGCTCAACTTGCAGGAATGGAAGGACCTTTTGCGCACTGAGAAGCCTTTGGTACTTGTAGTAATTCGCATGCCTTAACCTTCTCCTTGAAACAGAATCGCAGAACTTCGTCGGGAACGTGCAGGCAGCAAGCGCACCGCCGCACGGGACGACGGCAAAACCAGCATTGATCCAGCACTTGCTCATGCCTTCGCCATCTTTGCTCAGAGACTCTGGTGGTTCCCTGCCCCTGGCCCATGCGCCCCCGCACATCCGGAGGTCATGTCGACAGAAAGAAGAGATCGGATTAAGGAGATCGCCAGAAGCACCAGCCTTCCCGAACTTGTGGCACAGGAGGGCGCCTGCAGGATGAAGCTGCTGACTAAAGTGGAGTCCATGTCCAAGATGCAGCAGAAGTTTAACCTGGAACAGCGGAGCCACGTCAGCTGGGTGAAGAAGCACGAGGGTGGCCGCAAGGCTGGCCCCATGCCCTCCGCCACCTTGACCTTTGCACCACAAAGCAGCTACACCCAGCATTCGGAACTGGGGCAATGCTTCGAGGAAGTTCAGCAATTGGAGACAGCACTCGCAGCGCTTCAGAAACGGAAGGACGCTCTACGTTGCCAAGAGTGGCAGACAACAGCAGTGAAGCCGATTCAGGCTTCCGGCTGCGCACGTTCCAAGTCCATCACGAACATGCAGGCATGGTTTCAGGCGTACGGCGAGCCCTCAGGACTCAGTCGTTGGAAAGACTGGCGCTCCAATAGTCCCTTTGTTCAAAGCCTCAGAGCGAGAAGACAGGAGCTTTTCTAGCTGGAAGTGCTCTGGTGACGCGAGGAACCGTTGAGGCTTTGAGACGTTTGTGTGCATTCTTTGGGCTTCCTTCTTAAAGAAAGCAGCCTGGAGAGTTTGGGAGATGCGATGTGACGGCTTTGCTGCCGTTCGCACGGCTGTTCCGCCAATGGCTGGTGGACTTCCTTTTGCGATCGGCAGTTGATTGTGATTCTCGCAGCAGGAGCAGTGCAACCCCAACGAAGTCTTATCAGCCAGCTTCATGTCAAGAACTGAGTAAGGGCTTTGACAGACTGCTCCTGTTGAGTGGAATCTGGTGTTATTCTTAGTGACTGAGCGGTGCCGTCTCACGACGTGCACCGCAGCAGCACATTGGTAGAAAGGCCGCCTTCCCGCGAGTTGTTGCCAGGTCGGCATATTGCATATTGGCAGACCCCCCCCCCTCTGCAAAGTCTCGCTGTAAAGCTTACGTAGTATGCACTCCTTGGAAGAGCCTCATTGACTGCGGAACTACAACCATACCTCGAGGAGGCCAGCACGAAGATGGACGAGCTTTCACCGGAAGCATGGCAAATGTTTTGGGAAGCTCTTGAGGCCGGGGCCTTCGGAGAATTCAGAAGGCTCAACCGCCGCATTCCTCGTTCAGAGGAGCACCTTACAGTAGCCCCAAGTGCATTCTAAAGTATGGCTCCTTAGGATGACACATAATCAAGGGGTGTGATTAACTAGCAAGCCAAGCCACCCAAGCTAAAGCCAGCTCCGCCTGCAGGCGATGACGCCAGAGCAGCAGAATGGCGTGCTCGAGTTTGCCTCTGGCAGTTTTCATCTTCCAGAAGGCGGAATTCGGAATCTCCAGTCACATGGGGTCGGGCTCAGTTATCTCTAAACCTGTGGCTCATTCCCCAGATTTCCCCAAGGTGGCTTGCCAGCCCTGCAGTTCTCCGTGGCACCGACAAGAAGCATGGAGCCAACTGCAGCAGCCTGGCAAACAACACCCTAAACCCTAAACCCTTTCTTGGATCCGATCTTGGAGCTTCAGGTCCCGTGCTTCTCCACGCTGTACCTCCCGAGCTACAACTCCGTCCAAGAGATGAGGGAGGCGCTTGTTATGGCCTCCTACGGGCACCCAATTAGCAAGTAGGTGCCCGGAGGAGGCTGCACCATTCCAAGTCGGCCACCACGGGAATCTAGATCTGATCTGAATCGATCAGAAAGCGAAATGCGAAACTGTTTAATTGGTCGCTTCGGCCGAGAGTTTTTGCATGGACAATGCAAAAGCGTGACGTTCTGATGCCTAGCACATGGGAGAGCCCACCAACAGGATTTGCTCAGCGCCTTTCTCAGTAAGCACGATGGCGGAGTACATTGGGATGGGGTCCAAGAACCTTGAGACACGGTGGAGCATTCAAGGGCTGGCTGCTTGACGCAGTCGCCCTCGCTTTCAGCCTGCCCGAGCTTCCTTACGTGGCCTCGTGGCCCACAGGCTGCATGGCTCGCGAGGTGATGGGTGCCTTATGCATCGTAGAAGTACTGGGATTGTGTTAAGACTGGGCATGACTCCCTCTTGCCGCTATTGTCACGAGAGATCCTTGTGGGAAAATTCTAGCCCGGCGAGCCGGGGAGCTCTCCCTAGCCTGTCGGCAGGAAGGTGGCTCTCGGCACACCTTGCCTGTGACAGTTCATTGGGATCAGGTTTTGTGCTGAGGGTGAAAGACCCGAAAAGCAGGTCCACATCCTTCAAGATATGGGAGTTTAAATAAGAAGTCCCGTATTGTGGGGTCCTTATAATAAGGGTCCTACTATTTAGGGTGCTATATTAGGGTCCCCTATGTTTGGAAACCCCCACATGTGCTTTGGGACGACGCAGACCGCATGGGTTGGGCAACTGTCACTGTCAGCTCATCAACACAGAGCCTCGATCCCCTTTGCCAATGCATTTGCAATCTTAGACGTGCCGGAAAGGGACAACATCTCAACAACAGTACCCCGTAAATGAATCCGAAAACTTGAAGATATGCTTCTTGTACTAGATGTTGTGCATCTCTTCTGGCTTGGGAACTTCGTTTCCCATGCGGATAGTGCCGTTTAGCATTGAAGAGGCGTGCTTCAGAGGGGCCTCTGCGAAAAAGGCTTTGCTTCATTTTTTCACCGGACTTGTCCAGCAGAGCACGGCAGACACCACTGCGAGGCATCACGGTGAACATGCTCACGCCTGGCGTGCCCATCATGGACCGTCTGACCCTTGCCCTGCGAGAGCATTTGAAGCAGCTGCAGGCTTGCGGAAGGGCGGGGACGACCCTCTAGCCTGAAGCTTGACACGTACATCCACGGCAGGATTGAATAACCAATGGAAGGGCGATGGGCAGGGGCACGGTGTGGACATGGAGACAAAGTCAAGGACCTAGGCCCTAATTTGGTAGTGCTGAATGCGCTTTACACAACAACTGCTTTAGAGCATTGTTGATGCAAGGCAGGCTATGGCCTTTTGCCACCGCATCTGCTAGCACTGACACTCCTTCCTAGGTGCAACGGGGTAAGACATGCGGAAGTGCTGCATGAAGCTCAGACTGTCCTACCCCACCCCGCCCCCCTCACTCAAACTGTCCCAGCACAGTCCTTGAAGCCACTTTGCCCCTCTTTGAATCCTTCAAGGCCGATGGGCGGTTGCCCAAAGATCTTCGGATTGCGGTGCCTCGGAGGGAACCCTCATCGATGCGCACACGGCGCAGGGATGTTGCGATGCACTGCGACTTAATAAAGATGCGTTGCGCGACAGCATGCCATGGCATGCCCATATCGACCGGGCTCCGCCATTCTGCATGCTGTTCAGGTGAGTGGTCCGGAGGAAGCCGGGGAAGGAGAGCATAAGATTTCACGCCAAATGCTGAGGCCTGAAATTGAAGTTTGCATGATGTACATAGCAGTGCTAATGCTTTGGTAGATTGATCTGTCTGGGGTCAACTTGTCTTGTGCTGCCAGCTCTCAAGCAGCAGGAACGAATGCGCAGCACAAGCACTTGGAGGCGATGCTACTTGTCATTACTTGACCCACTCGGTATGAAGTGTGAGTTCCCAGTGCACCGGCAGGTATGTACTGCTGCATGTTTGGGTTGCATGCGGGTGCTATCCGTCGGTCAGCTTTGCATTGATATACCTCATTGCCTACACAGATTACGGACACTGACTTGACAACGCCAGCCGAGTGCCCCATGATTTTTTTGCGAGAACTGCGGAGAGACACGGAGACACATTTCAGTACCGCACAAACTCCTCTGTCGTATTTCAAGAACTAGCGGTTGTTGTGCTCCATGCCGTGGTTGTCGCATGTGAGCTGGGCAGAAAGCCGCCATGAAATGCATGAAGCAATCGGAACCGTTAGCAGTCAAGCAGTAGTGGCCAGTGGCATATTGATTGGCAAACCCCAGCTATAAAGAGTCATATGAAGCTGTGAAGCGTTTGGGTGCCCTGCAACGGAGAGTGTGGGAAGCAACATAAGGAGTGCCACGTGATTGTCGGCACCGACTCGGATTTGACGCTTTGTTGCAGACGGCATTGTCACGACAATGAGTTTGCAACTGGGGGAAGCATTTGACTGATAGAACGGCTGCAACAGGAAAACTCAGCTCATCATCTCCTTTATCATCAAAAGAACACCAAAAGAACCATAAGCGCAGTCAAGCAACGCAGTTATTCAAAGGAGTTGGTATGCTCTAGGCCAACCACCACCGTGCTGGTAGAGCAGCAGCTGCAGTAGCAGTAGCAGTTTCTGCGGTCGCTGTTGCTGCCGGTGTTGCTGTCAGCAGTAGCTGTTGCTGTTGCTGCTGTTATTGTTGTTGCTGTGGCTGTCGCTGTCGCTGTTGCTGCTCTTGCTCCAGCTGCTGCTCCTGTTCCTGCTCCTGCTGTTGCTCTTGCTGCTGCACCTGGCGTTGGTCATTGAAAATAATCCGGACCCAAATGAACGGTCTCATCAGAGCCAAGTCCAGTTATTGCAGCACCGGACCCAGGCTCTTGGTTCCAGTTGCTTTACATCGTGGCCCAAAGCGAGTGGCCGTGACACGACGTGAGGAGGGGATACCTCACGGATGGAAGTGTGGCTCAGGAAAAGAGTTCTGTCACCCCGGATAGACATCGCGAGAGTTCGCCATTGAAATCCTCATGCGAAGGACGGACTGACACAGCGCAAGTCCCCCCTGCTGCCTGGCACAAGAGATGAAGCCAGTGTATTTCCGGGTGCTTGGATTACATGACTCGGTTGTACAGACCAAGCAGTTGCAGAGGCGCAGTAAGCCCCAGTAAGCCGTGCTCAGATGAGCGCCCAGCCAGTGAATCTGGAGTCGTGCCCCGCCTCCGCCTCGCCACTCAGACGAATCGTCCGATCGTCCCAGATGATCCCAGATGTGGGTCGAAGATTTGTCCCAATCCGACTCCAGCTGCATCAGTCCTAGAGCAAATATCGACCATTAGATACCATTTGTCTATTACTGCTCCGAAGATATAGCAGCGTTTCTATTGCTACACCTCCAACTGAATTCACTTACTTCAACGCCCCCTCCTGCTAACGCTACTACGACAACAACTACTACTATTCAGCCGCCGCCACCGCCACTTCCTGCTGCTGCTGCTGCTGCTGCCGCTGCCGCTGCCGCTGCCGCTGCTTCTGCTGCTGCTGCTGCTCGTTGTTGCTGTTCCTTCCACTCCGCTGACATGCCACCGGAAATCCGTGGTCCACCGGCAGCTGCAGGGCCAAGGGTCAATCCTTCGCTGCATAAGGCGCGTTTGCAGCGGTGATCGGCTTGTGCAAGCCATGGGAAGGCCTGCTTTCGGGTGAGGGCAACGACTCCTTACCGTTGTTCGTGAGGGCGAGATGCCCCATCGTTCTCATCGTAGCTATTGACGTTCTGCCGCTCCGTGCTGATATCTTCAGGCTTTGCTGTGAGGAGTCTCAAAGAGAGCGATGGCTTTGTGAAACAGACTCTCAGAGCACAATGTGGCGATGAGCATGGGATGCTGATGATGATGGTGATTTGATGGTGATGGTGATGATATTGACGGTTATGGTGATGGTGAACATGGCGGGTTCGGCTGATACTGGCAGCAAGGAAGCAGCTGCATGACTGGCAGGCAGCTTCACAGCTTCGCCAAGCAGGAGTCTTTGCCACCGACAGCGCCAACTCCCAAGGCGAAGTCTTATATCGCCACACCGATCCAGCTCAGACATGTCATGGTGGTTCCAAGTTTTATTGCTTGCAGCATTCCTCGTCTGCTAGACTCCTAGACTCACTAGACATCACTAGACGGGTCATTCGTATTCTTGCCGTAGGTGCACAGAACCTTAATCTTGAACATCCCCAGTTGGCAGTCGGTGTCGAACTGCCAGGATCTCCAGCAGCTGCGTCTTGACTTCCTGCTCGTGATGCTCTTCAGGGGCAACGACTACTTGCCAGCGCTTGTGCCTCTTGGCTCATTTACTTCGATTTGGCTACTAGTAGGTTGTACCCAGAGACGAAGGAGGAGCCAAGATGCGAAGGCTCCAACGCCCCAAGCTGTGTCAGTGAGTCATAACAAGTGGGTGCCTCGCCTGCTTTGTCGAGTGTGAGTGCTAAAAAACAAGTGGGTGCGGCTTCATCGCTCGCACAAGGACCGGTCATGACCCCGCAGACCTTTGGACTCAGTACCTCCGTTCCTTGGAAGCTTGGAGAACCGGGGTGGTCGATGCTCTTCCTAAACGGACTTCGAAGTACTCGCAGGATGGGGATCAGGATTGTTGGAGAACATTGGAGAACTGCCAGTGGCGCCAGCAGGGGGCAGCATGAGCAGTTGTGGGGCATACGGTGCAACAAAGAACACAGACCCAGCTAAAGAAGGCTGGCGGCAGAGCAAGTTTGGCGCTGCTGGCATCGTCCCTCACCCAGCATGATCTGATGCGAAAGAGCATGCGTAAGTCTGAAGCACAATCTTTTGCGTGCTTGTCCGATGCAGTTTGCAAAGCATGTTCCAATGCGGACGAACAGGAACAGTGTCAAAAAAGCTCAAAGTTCTGGTTCGGGTGAGGCCATCAGACACTCAACCTTTACACCCTCCTGGGCCGAAGGTGCAGATGGAGAACGATGGAGAAGAGCAGGAGGGAGTGGAAGCTTGGCTG